CTTTCTTCCGTTCAACACCGACAATTCAATACAAAAGGTATTTCTTTAACTCAATCTCTTCTTTCTTTCTTTCTTTGTTCAATCTTCTCAAGAATTATGAAAAAAGGATTTTTTGTGTAGATTGTTATTGTTTATATTCTAAATTTTTTTGTTCATTTTCTGTCATAAAATTCTTGTCCACGAGAAATCTTGATTTTTATATTATTGATTTGTGATTATATCGTGCATGGTTATGGTAAATGTAAGTTTCAGTGGTGATACATGAATATGAAATTTAAATGCATACATTCTGTTTGTTTATTTGTCTGTGTAAGCTTCAAAATATTGTATAATGATGAATACAGAGTGTTTGGCTGATGTCAATATTTGTCAAAGTGTGGCCATGTAAACTTTTGTGTAATGTTTGTTAATTCTTCTAGACTAATTGTTGGGGTGGCTCATGTTGAAGACTTCGAATCAATAGCTGAGCCAGAGAAACGTGCGAATTGTGAACAACAAGCTCTCACCTTTGCAAAACTGCTTCTGAAAGAAAGGCGAAGGTTCAAGAGCATTGGTGAAGTTGTTTCTGCCATTCAGCAGCCTAAATCATGAGAAATTCCTCCTCAAATTTATGATTTTAGATATTGCAAGGATAATTGAGTTAAATTGTGATACCTCCAAAGGACAAGCAGAATGTATTCAAGGTAATAAGAGATTTCTTCGGTTTTGCATCCCAAAAAAAATAAAAAATGAACGGGCAAATACGTAAAGTTACATTCTGAGAAAATTCTTTCTTTCCATATCTCTCCAACTCTCAAACAAGGGATGTAGCAGTATACACCTCGATCTGTGTAGAAGACTGTCTTCTCCTTGTCTTCCTCGCTCATCCCATTCTGATGGTACCCCTTAAAGGCGTAAAAAAAACAAAGGATCTCGTAACCCATAACCGAGTCCACCAGGGTGTCGACTCGGAGTAATGGGTAACAGTACTTGGGACAGGCCTTGTTCAGGTCGGTGAAATCCACGCACATTCTCCAGGTCCCGGTGTCCTTCTTGACCATAACCGGGTTAGATAACCACGACGGGTATTGAACTTCTTGGATTATCTTGGCGGGAAGGAGTCTGTCCACTTCTTCACCAGCGGCTCGGCTACGTTTCGGGCCGAGGTGCCTTCTCTTCTGCTGAATCGGGCATGCCTGATGGTCTACATTCAGCTTATGTATCATGAGGTAATGGGGCACACTTTGGATCTCGTCGGCAGCCCAGGCAAAGACATCCCGGTACTACTTGAGGAGACCCACTATGTCTTTCTTGATTGAATCCGGTAAATGGACGCCGATGCGGACCGTCTAATCCGACTTTGAAGGGTCCATGGGAATATCCTCTACCTCATCTCCAGTCTCTAGCCTCTGGGGCTTCCTGATTTGCTGAGGATCGATACAATCGATTGAAAGGATATTTGACCTCTTTTCGGACCTGGGCTCGGAGGCCGACGTAGAAGCGGCTTGCAAAGTAGCGAGGTAACACTCTCGCGCTGCACATACATCGCTGCTAACCTCGACGACTCCTGCCGGGGTTGGGAACTTAAAACTCAGGTGGTACGTGGAATACACCACACGAAAAGCATTAACCGTGGGTCGGCCCATGAGCAAGTTGTAGGGAGAGTCGGTTTTGACCATAACAAAATTGACAGGAATGGTTCGACAGCGAGGGTGGCGACCCACAGTCACTGTTAGGGTCACCACCCCTTCCGAATGCACGACGTGTCCCCCGAACCCTACTAGGGGCATCCTAACGGCGGACAACTGTTCTCTTGTCAGGTTCAAACTTTCAAAAGTTCAGAGATACATGATGTCCACCGAATTTCTCGGGTCAACGTAGACCTTCTTAACGATGTAATTGTTGATGAGGATCTCGATCACCAAAGCTTCATGGCTGCTCGAGGCGGCGGGAATGGGGTCGCTAGGGCCATAAGATATCACTTTGGACAAGCGTGAGCTCGGCTCAGCCTGTTCAGTGTTGGCCTGCCTATAGGTCCTCTTCCGGGAGTTCTGGCTGTCCCCTCCCGTCGGACCTCCGGCAATGGTGTTGATGACCCCAATTATGTTCGGTCCATATCCTAACCCGTGGCCTGAGAACCCGTCTGGGAGAGGTCTTTTCGTCTCCCTAGGGTCCTCAGGGGGTCGACAACTGCTACTCGACCCTCGTCTGTCTTCTCGGCGCCGATCACCTTGGTCATCACGTCGACAGTCGGCGGATTGGTAACCGCGATCTTGGCGGATAAACTGTTTCAAGTGTCCTTACTTAATGAGGCGCTCAATCTCCCTCTTGAGGTCATTGCAGTCTTCCGTCTCGTGCCCGATGTCCCGGTGGTACAAGCAGTAGAGGTTGGAGTTTTTCTTATCTCTGCTCCTGGCCATCTTTGAAGGGGCATACCCGAGGTTAATCTGCTCCATGACGGAGAGCACTCGGAATCGGATAGCGTTCAAAGGCGTCAGGTCGGACTCGAGGATAGATGTCTTCCCCGTAGATATCCGATCGAACACACTTCGACGATTCCGGTTGAGGTTTTGAAAGCCACCAACAGCGCCTGCCTCACTTCGGCCGGATTCCTTCTTCTTTCTAGGATCGGTCCCCGAGCGAGTTTCTTGGATCTCCTTCTTTATTCGGTTGAGGTCTTCGGCTTGTATGCCTTTTTCGACCTTCAACCAGAGTTCATGGAGTGTACGGAGATACTTCTTGTGTATCCCTGTGTTAAATACCCCGGCCACGAGTCCGTGGGTGAACGCAGCTATAGTAACCTGTTCATTAGGATCTGGTATCTGCACGCTTTTCTCATTGAATTTCTATACATAGGACCGAAGTGATTCTCCGGGGTTCTGCTGCATATTCAGCAGGTAAGCCGAAGTTCTAGTTGTGGGTCTGGAGGACACGAATCAGTGGAGAAATCTCTCCACGAACTCTCCTAGGGTGGATATGCTCCTAGGTTCCAGACTCCAGAACCATTTTCGAGCTATCCCCTGAAGGAATACTGGAAAAACCCGACATATAACGGGGTCGGGAATGCAATATAATCGAAATGTCGAGATGAAAGCGTGAATGTGATCTTCAAGATCACCTCGGCCGTCGTATGGATTTATTGAGGGAAGCTTGAAGTTGGGAGGAAGCCTTTCCTCGTTGATTTCATCCGTGAAGGGTGGGGCCCTCATATAATCCACCTCAGGCCTCCCGAGATGTCGAGGCTCTTCTTCGCTTCGCCTCCCTAGCAAGTCTCGGGAAAACGCCTTTGTGATAGAGGCGATTTTGGAAGTAGCTTTAGAAGAGACTCGCTTCGGGGTGCTCCTAATGGAGTGCCTTCCCTCAGATTCCTCATCAGAGAAGTCTTTAGGGGACCCATCTGATTTTCTTTTAGAGGATTTGGCCTTTTGTTTGCTTTGTCTCTTGAAATATCTTCCCAACTCTTCAAAGATATTGGGGTTTTCACTTACAAACTCGGCCATACGAGTTATGGCTTCTTCGTTTGCGGGCTGAGTTCTAACAGACTCCTGTCCTTCAGAGGCATTCTCCTGTTGGGCTGCAACACTTTGCTCAGCTCCAATGGCAAGAGCCTTCCTGCTCCTCGAACGCGTAGGTTTCATCTTTTGATGTTTTCGTTCCCACAGACGGCGCCAATTGAAGAGATGATTTCTGACCTCACGAAGTGATTACTGAAGTCGGAGGTGCCCCTGTTTGAAGAGGTCAAAGCGTCCAGATCACCTGCTCAGATACAAAGAAGAGGGGCTGAATCCCCCGGTATAGTTTCGAAGCTTAAGTTAGTTTGGATAAGAGCGAGTGATATCAGAGAGAGAGTATTAACTTTTTTACCAGAGATTTGGCATCCCCCCTCTCAGAGGGAGTTTCTGATATTTATAAGAGGCACGAGAGAGGGACTACAGGTACAGGTCCTTAGAAATCCGATACAGGCAGTGTATCCAATTGATTTGACTAGTCCCCAAGGAGGGGCGTGTCAGAAAAGTCGTCAGAGTCAGGCGGCGCGTGTCAGAGTAGCCATCTATAAGGCGTCAGGTGTGTTAGAGGTCATATCCCATCCCATTCCAGCTCAAACCCTTAGATGCCACCTCGACGTCACGAGAGACGGCTCGCACCGGGACTAGAACTCAGGTCGGGACCACCTCGGCGATTAGGCGAACGAGGTGGCACCCATAGGGGTAGCAGAAGGACGAAACCCCAGGTAGTCCGAGCCGAAATGACCATCCTCATATTTTATTATTATTGTTGTTGTTGTTATAAATTTTCTTCCGTTAAATCTTTCAATTTGGTAAATGTAATGAAAGAACCATTAGAACAAAAAAGGACTTCATAAGAGTTTAGCGGACTCTAGCTTTCTCAAAAAGGGAGTCCATGTTTAACCATTAAAACATAGTAGGATCCTTGGTATATGATTTAAATGACCTCATAATTGTCTAATAGCTCCAAATAATATAGACAATCTGCAGAAACAAACAATGTTGTCTTTATTCTTCCAAGATCTCAATCACAATATAAGCGAAAAATATGGAAAGAACGGGGAAACTACATCTAAGATCCACGTAGAAGTTGAAACAACTTTCTCGAGTTGAGAACTTCAACAAGATATCTAACTCCACAAATAGCAATGCCAGGCTCTGTTATGCTATTGCTTTTGTGTTATTGTCTGATTATTATTTATTACGTTATCCAGCACCAGACAAAAGCACAAAATGAGATCTTATTGAATAAATTTTCAGTTGGACAATCAACACAATATAGCCAGGACTTAAGTACTTTGTGTTGTTACTCAAAAGGTCATCACATAACCTGAAATGCAAATTACTCTTCTATTGCAATTAGCTTAAAATGTTCTACTATTACATGAATAACAGGTATTACAATCAAAGTCAGGTTGCAAAATCTCGACCCATGAATTGTAGCACAGGCAAAATTCCCTCAGTCACCTATGAATTACAAGAAGAAGAAAATGAAAGTAAAACCAATACCATCGCTCATAATTCATCAAACCCTTCAGTTTTCCTCTTTTTCCTCTTTTTCTTTCCACTCTGCTCTGCAGAATCACTTCTCTCTCCACCATCAACCTCCCTGCTCTTCCTCTTCTTCCCTTTTTCGCTGCCAACATTTTCTCCATCATCTCCACCCTCATTCTTTTTTCTCTTCTTTTTCTTCTCCTTACTTTTGACACCTTCAACTCCATCCATGTCTCTTTCAATTTCCACAATCTCTTGCTTAGTATTATTCTTAACCTTATCTATTTCCTCTCTATCTTCACCTCTCCCAATCTTCTCATGTTTCTTCTTTTTCCTTTCCTCCCCAACCCCACTATCAGGGCTTCGCTCAATCTGTTCTCTCTGCTCACTCCTCACCTCCAATTGGCAATTTTTCTTTCCTTTTTTGCCAATATTTTCTCCATCCTCCTCACCCTCATCCTTCTTTTTCTTCTTCTTATCCTTTCTCTTCACACTTTCACCTTCAACTTCATCAATAATGTTCCTTTCAACTTCCACAATCTCTTGCTTAGCCTTATTCTTACCCTCATCTCTTTCCTCTGTATCTTCACCTCTTACAATCTTTTCATGTTTCTTCTTTTTCCTTTCGTCCCCAACCCCATCAGGGCTTTGCTCAATCTGTTCTCTCTCCTAATTCCTTAACTCCGATTGGCCAGTTCTCTTATCTTTTCTGTTCTTGTCCTAACTTCTCTGTACCTTAACTTTGTCAAGCCTATCTGCTTCTTGGCCAATCTTCAACAAGCCTTCAGTGCTCGGCTCAAATTCGGATTTTTCTTATGTTTTCCCTTCTTTTCCGACCTTTTCACGGCGTTAACTTCATCAATCCCTCCGTTATCCTTATCAATCTTTAACGGTTCTTCATCATTTACCTCTAATTCGCGATTTTTCTTCCGCTTGCCCTTACTTTCTACATTCTTGATCTTTTCTTCATCTGGGTTTTTGTCAACGGTGGCTAAAGTTTCAATCTTTGTATCAACAGCAAGAGGTTGAGATGCCTTACGTTTACGATTCGAATGGGGCGCTTTTAGCTCCTTGTGGAATTGAACCAAGTTGTCGAAGGCATCAGAAGCACGTTTCAGATACACGCGGACTGCATCGGAAGCTCCGTTCTCCTCTTCCAGGGAGGCGAAGGCGGAGAGGTTTTTGGCTGCTGAAGATAGAGAGACTGGCTTTGTTGATACCACTTGGCCTGTGATAGTCTTCATTGGAATTTGACTATTTTGATACCTTTTGGGGTTAATTTAGCTGCGATTTAGGGTTTAAGGGGTTTTCGTCGGGGTGGCGATCTGTTCAAATCGGGTTGGCGGGTCGGATTGAGACTTGGATATAATAAAAAATCCCGCTGACTCGAACTCGAAAATTTTGGATTGGATTAGCGAGTCAATATGAAATGATTCAAAATTTAATTTTAATTTATTAATTTATCACTGTATTTTTTTATAAAACCAATTTCACACAAGATTAATTACATAATCAAGTAATAAAATTTTAAATAAATAATTCCAAATCAAATATAAAATAAATAAAAATAATATAAAAGTAAAAAATAATATAATACAGTATTTATTCAAATGTAATAATTTCAACTTCACACAGGTTAAATAAATAATTCATTTAAGATTAAGTGATTAATGTCTTTGGAAAAAAAGAATAACTTAGTTTAGTTAGATAAAATAATTTTTATGTTTATCAAATTATTTTTTATTCATAAACGGATTATCGGATCACCTACGGGTTGATTCGAATTCGACTCGTTTTCTTTTCAGGATTCATCGGGTTTGACCCGATTTTGATCCGAACCTGCGAGACCTCAATTAAAATCCATTAATTTTGCGTTAAATTCATGCGTCATGTCAAAAATTGCCACCGCTAGATTTTCGAGGGTGAAGTCAAACGGGGTCGAAGACAATGACATTTGGTTTCTCGGACCCTCAGCCAAGACCGGAATCTCAAACGGATCAGACCCAATAAAACAAGAATTGCTAAAGTAGGGCAAAAATTTTTCTGAATGAAAATGTAACACGTTAAAATAAATTTCCCGCTGCAAAAATAGGAAATAGGAAACTTAGGAGTCAATAGCATGTACAAGTTTGATAAGACCATTGAAATGGACACGAGATCTTCGGTCTTACTCAAAAAAAAAAAAAGTATACGTTGTCATACGTACAATCATGAATGTGATACATATTTACATATACCAATTGATTTAGGACTCTCTTGATGGAATACACTTGAGTAATAACAAGTAATACTGATATCTTGCTCAATTTCATGTTAGCATCACATATTATAAGATACAGAATAAAATATAAATTTATGTTGAATTATCTTCTAAACTTCATCCTTACAAAATGGAGAAAAATTAAAACACAAACCAAAGGGGGAGAAAGGGAAAATTTTCAATTATATCATGTCAATTGGTCATTCTTCTCAATAATAAATATAAAACTGTTTTCAACTTTCTTACAAAATAATAGATAACATGTATCTTAAAAAATGTTATTACTTTTCTCCTATTCTTAATGTAACAACGTTAATTTTGTAATTATGAATGGACTGAATATATAACGTATGAAGGGAATGTTTGGTTGAATGATAAGATAGAAGAGATTATGAATGAGAAGTTTTGAAAATAAAGTTGTATATCTTACTTATACAAAGTTTTTAAAAAAATACAAAGGTGTATGCTTGTGTTTATTTACTTTAAATTACACATTTATCTTGTTTCATGTTTTCCATTTACTCAAAATCTTACATTGATACCTTTCTCATCTCTTTTCATCTTGAAATTTTTATTATTTTATCTAAAGAAAGCTACTATTAGAAAACTTCCTCCTCAATTTTCATCTTGAATTCTTATTTTTTTCTCCTCTTAATATTCCTGTTATTTTCTCTAAAGAAAGCGAGCATTAGATTTACTCTTTGGAGGGTTAGAAGGCATCTAAACTCCTTACATATTAAACTTCCATAAAATTTCAATATCAAAGATTAAAATGAACACAAAAATTTAGAAAATTCATTAGCTATTTTTGGTACAAAGTCCTTTTATCTTTCTATTTGCTTAAAAGGGGGGGTGAGGAAAATAAGAATAATGTATTTAAGGCAATTCCGTTTGTTAGGCTCGATCCCGCAACCGCCTTCGACGATGGAAAACAGAGCTAATCGAACCCCACAACGTTCTCACTCCACCAGCACACCGTCTTGAAAACTAGGTCAACCGTTCGCACAAATTTTTAGTTCAGCTATTGACTTTATATGCTGCCTCTGCCAGCTTTAGGCTTCATCTGGATAGAAAGAAAAGGACAGAAAAGAAATGATTCTGAGAGAAACCTGTACCGTTTCATTCATTTGGGAGTTTTAAGATGGACAGAAGAGAAAAGGAAAGAACGGATAAGATTCCCTCCAACTGGTGAAAATTTTTCCGCCCAAAAGTGGGAAGAAAAGGACGGAAATAACTTGGGCGCCAAAAGACATTTCTACTATGACAATTTTGTCCTTTAAAAGTTGATACAAAAATTCATTATACCCATTATATCCTAAAGTTCATTTGTAAAACCACCGGTGCAAGGCTTTCTCAGCTCTTACTTTCAATCAATGTTTTCAAATCCGGATCGGACCGGTCGGTTCGGCCGATTCGATCGCAAACCGGACATGTGTCCGGTCCGGTTCATAGCCTTTGTTGACCTAAACCAAAACCGGTCAAAATTGCAAAAAATCGTAAAAACCGTTAAAATCGGTTCAACCCGTGAACCGCGGTTCTCCAATTTTTGACCGAATTTTCAATTTTGACCGCAATTGTCTAAACCTAATCTTCACTTCTTCAGTCATCAGTTCACTCTTCTCTTCAGTTAGGGGTGGCAAACGGGTCGGGTTCGGGTTGGCGGGTCGGGTTGAGGCTTAAGTATAACAAAGAACCTGCTGACCCGAACCCGACCCGTCAACCCGAAACGAGTCAGGGTACCTGACACGAACTCGAAAATTTCGGGTTGACGGGTCGACCCAAAATGACCCGAAACTTAATTTTAATTTATTAATTTATCACTGTAATTTCTAATAAAATCAATTTTTCAAAAAATTAATTACATCATCAAGTAATAAAAATTTAAATAAATAATTTCAAACCAAATCTAAAATAAATTAAACACCATAAAAGTGTTTTATCCCAAACCAAATATAAAATAAATTAAAATAACATAAAAGTAAAAAATAACATAATATATTATTTGTCCAAATATAATAATTTTAACTTCACACAAGTTAAATAAATTCATTTAGAATTAAGTAATTAATGCCTTTGGAAAAAAAGAATGATTTAGTTTAGTTAGATAAAATAATTTTTATGTTTATTAAATTAGTTTTAATTCGTAAACGGGTCACATCGGGTCATATCAGGTCACCACGAGTTGATTCGAAATTGACCTGTTTTCTTTTCGGATTCATCGAGTTCGACCCAATTCTGACCCGAACTCCCAAAACCTCAACCCAAATCCATTAATTTCGTGTTAGATTCGTGTCGTGTTTTCGAATCGTGTTAGGAATTGCCACCCCTATCTTCAGACTTCACGACGCTCTTCGCTTTGCCGCTTCAGTCTTCGCCGCCGCTTCAGCTTAATTCATTTGTTTCGATTCTTATTTCTCAGCTGCTACCCAGCAATTCATCTCAGCTGGGTTTTGGTTGTCCCTTTTTCCCTTTTTTTTCCTTTCATCTTCGCCGCTTCACGTTTGGTTACTGGGTTTGTAGCCTTCGCCGGTTCATAGCCTTCCGTCCCCTCGGCCCTTTTCCATCCCCTTCGCCGGTTTCGCTTCAACTCAATTCATCTTCGCCGGTTCATAGCCTTCGCCGCTTCACGACACTCTTCGCCGCCGCTTCATTTCTCAGCTGCTACCCATCTCAGCTTATACCAGGTTTGTTTATCCTTTTTCCCTTTTTTTTTTCCTTTCGTTGTTGATTACTGGGTTTTGGTTGCCCTTCCGTCCCCTCGGCCCTCTGTATAATGTATATGTACTGCTGTAATTTTTGGGCATATGATCCTTATTAACTTGGCATTGCAGTAGCGGCTAAATGATTATATTATAAGCTGATCAGCCTAAATCATTTTTTTTTGGTTTGTCCTCAAATTAGATAAGCTGTCAGTCTGTTTGTCCTGCAGTTTTCGTTTTTTTTTTTTTGACTCGGTAGATAATTTGGTTGCCCTGTTGTTTAAGTTGCGCCGCTGGTGAAACCGGAACTTAATTGGGAGGTAGACTCCCTGTTAATGTTTTTGGCCGACAATAAAAATGTCAATTAATTAGTGGTCAGGTATCAGATGTTGGTACTAAACTGTACTTCACTGCTAAATTCCACCAACGGCCTCAGTAAAAGTCTTTTCTTTTGGTATTATCTGAAAACTGGATTAAAAAAAAGAAAAAAAAAGTCCTCGGTCTTTCAGTTGGACAGCCTATCATATGGTCCCTTCTGTCACTTAATTCAGTAATTGATAATTGATAACCATGTCATTGTGGAGTTGTATTATAATTTGATATTGAAGCATGTAGAAAGTTTCCCTTGCTTCAAGTACTTCCATTTGGTGAATTGGGATGAATTTTTGACACGTTTGGTTACTTGGTCAAGTGAAGTGAGAATTTGACAGAAGCTTCCAAAACATGTTTTTCAGTTGTTGAACAAATCTTCTTGTTTGTCTTGTTAGGTTAATATAACAGGTTAACATAGATATAATAACCATGACTCTTTTAGTAATAATCTCATACTACCATTTATCATAGTTGCCAGTCTTTCAATCTTTAGCTGTTATAGGTAAACACGTAATCCTATAATTAGAAAACTTTATTAACCAAAGTGCAGTGACACAAAGATTCTATGATGAAACAGAATTTGATTTTCTGTACAGCAAGGTTCTTTTCTTTCTTTAGCCAAAGCTTTTTCTGCTTCTGTCTATAAGACAAAATGTTTACACATATCCGGTTTCTGTCCTTTTGGTTTATATTCTTCAAATCATCTTTTCTACAATCCACCATTAGTGTATTTCGCAGAAGCTCAAATGCTACTCCACTTATTAAATAATATAAGTCCCTTGCTAGGCTCTTGCTACTAAATCATTCCGTGACCTCCTGTTTCTGAAAGGTAAACAACCAAATCTATTGTTGACTAATTAGAGCTCATTAAATTATGCACAACCTACAGTTGGAAAACTATTATGTCTACATATTAAGACTGCTGTCTACTACCAAACATGTACAAGGAGTCTGAATACTAGAGAAGCAACCAAAAGCTGCCAGGTGTAACCAAGAATGTTAGAATATAAATTCTATCCTAGGGTAGAATTACTTCAGAATCTTTGCAGTGCCAAATCCAGAGTAGAATTACTTCAGAATCTGGATTTCCATCTTAGCAGTGCCAAATCACTAACAGGAGATGCAGATTAGGATATGTATATATATATTATTTATTTATTTATTTATTGAACCAGGGTTGAACCGGTCCGACCGGTTGAACCTCGATTCTTTCACTTCACCGGTTCGCTTGACGGTCCGGGTTTTAAAACATTGCTTTCATTCCTTGCAACTAGATTCACCTGGCTTTCTTCCGTTCAACACCGACAATTCAATACAAAAGGTATTTCTTTAACTCAATCTCTTCTTTCTTTCTTTCTTTGTTCAATCTTCTCAAGAATTATGAAAAAAGGATTTTTTGTGTAGATTGTTATTGTTTATATTCTAAATTTTTTTGTTCATTTTCTGTCATAAAATTCTTGTCCACGAGAAATCTTGATTTTTATATTATTGATTTGTGATTATATCGTGCATGGTTATGGTAAATGTAAGTTTCAGTGGTGATACATGAATATGAAATTTAAATGCATACATTCTGTTTGTTTATTTGTCTGTGTAAGCTTCAAAATATTGTATAATGATGAATACAGAGTGTTTGGCTGATGTCAATATTTGTCAAAGTGTGGCCATGTAAACTTTTGTGTAATGTTTGTTAATTCTTCTAGACTAATTGTTGGGGTGGCTCATGTTGAAGACTTCGAATCAATAGCTGAGCCAGAGAAACGTGCGAATTGTGAACAACAAGCTCTCACCTTTGCAAAACTGCTTCTGAAAGAAAGGCGAAGGTTCAAGAGCATTGGTGAAGTTGTTTCTGCCATTCAGCAGCCTAAATCATGAGAAATTCCTCCTCAAATTTATGATTTTAGATATTGCAAGGATAATTGAGTTAAATTGTGATACCTCCAAAGGACAAGCAGAATGTATTCAAGGGTAATAAGAGATTTCTTCGGTTTTGCATCCCAAAAAAAATAAAAAATGAACGGGCAAATACGTAAAGTTACATTCTGAGAAAATTCTTTCTTTCCATATCTCTCCAACTCTCAAACAAGGGAAAGATGTTTCTTTTCTTTTCTTTCATTGAACTCCCAAACGAAATATTCATCTTTTCTCCTCTTTTCCTTTCTTTTCTAAGTTATCTTTTCTCTTCTCTTCTCTTCCTTCGTCTACTCCCAAACTAAGCCTTATTTATCAGTTCTGCAACCGCTGAGAAACTCTAAAACCCTCCCACCTAATTCTTAAACCTCAGTTTTTCTGCGTAAATTAGCAAACATTAGGAAAAATGATGAGGATAGCGCAAGCTCCGATTCAATTCACAAAACAGCCCTACATTGAAGATGTCGGCCCCCGCAAAATGTAACTGATCTCTACTGCTATTGCTCTTTTTTTTTTTGGGGTTAAATCTTAAATAAGTGAAATTCCAACGTGTTTGATAATTTCTTTACTTTTTTTTGTGGAAATTTGTGAACAGAGAAAGTATTCAGTTTTCTACATTCGGAGAATCCGAGATTCTGAAAGCAGCTGAAGTACAAGTATACCGCGGTGTATATTATGATTCTGCGAAAAAGCCTTGGGAGAATGGCTTATTAGACCCTCATATGGTATCTTATTTAACGTTCATTGTTTCTTTTAACAGTGGTGAACTATTTTTGCGTACGATGAACTGATAGCCGTGATTCATTTTCCATATTTTCTATCTGATGGAGAAGAAAATGTATCTGCTGTTGTTATTTCACATTTAAAAGAAGAAGAGAAGGGGAGTTCGAATAAATAGCATTTTCTGGGGAACTGATGATGCATCAGTTATCTTTTAGGTCTCTTTTGTGCGGCTAGAGTTTGTTTAATCTGTCAAATTATGCGATAGGAATTGCTTTGTTCAGTAAATTACTTGTAATAGTCTATTGATAAGGGGATCACTTCCAGTGACTTTCTAATTTTCTAACAAGCTAAATCAATGTTGTTTTTTAATGTAGGTACTGCTGTTGTTTCCAATTTATTTATAGTTCAGAAGTGTATTAATTTATTGGTTACATTTTTGAGTTTCTGGAATTGATATTAGAAATCTTCTGAAAGGTGCTGTTTGGTCTAGGGCCCCGCAAACAAGAATGGAATTTGTGAAACATGCCATGGGAACTTTAGGGAATGTCCAGGGCACTACGGATATTTGACTCTTGCTCTACCAGTTTACAATGTTGGATACTTGATTACTGTCCTCGACATCTTGAAGTGCATTTGCAAGGTAGATGCTTATAGTTCTACTTATATGTTTGTGCATAGTATTTACTTTGACCTGCAAATCTCTCTCTCTCTGTCTCTCTCTCTCTCTCTCTTTTGGATTCAAGTTGATGCAAAGTATACTTCTTATTTGCTGTTGGTTCATCATTTTGTACGTAGGACTGACTTGAATAATTATAGGAGTGCTAGGATGACATTCTTTTGTCTGAAAAAAAAAATTCTTTTACCAATCTGCCTTCTATTTGCCACTTGTGTCCTCATGTGCCCAAAAAAAAAAATCCCCTTCTCCTTGCACTCAGAACATGCAAAGAGGTGCTGTTTCTAGAAGCGACTACTTCTGCACGTGGGAAATGCTAAATTTGCTAATGGGAGTCATCTGTAGAAGCAGCTCTGAATAGTTTAAGTCTATCATCTTGGAATGTTAAGAGGTTAAAATGGCCTTCTCTCATTTTTCTGTTGGGCTTGTAGCTAGTGATATGGTATTTGGTAAGTTCTTCTAATGAAAATTTCATCTGAATTTTTGAGATAAAGTTTCTTTCGGAAGTTTCCTTCCATTACTGGGAGTCAAAGCACATGAGATGAATAATTTTTCCCACGTTGTCATTTCTTAGTTGCCTCCTCTCTCTCTCTCACACACATATTTTGGTGAATGGTGCTGGGCGTGTTGAATGCTTTATCAGAGTTAAATTTTGAGCTTATTCATTTATTTTTCTCCTACTGTGCTTTCTAGTTTTGGATGTGTTGAAGATATGTGATCTAATATTAGGAAAGATATGATTATAGTATCATGTATTAATTAGGTATCATATGATTATAGTATCATGTATTAATTAGGTATCATATGATTATAGTATCATATATTAATTAGGTAGTAAATTGATTTAGATTAGCATGATTTTAGGATCTAAATTAGGTTACACTTGTGTATATATATATATGTATATTGTGTAGTCCAAATAAGATGAAGGAAAATATTTTCTCTCCCTTTTTCTTAGTTTTCATGGTATCAGAGCCCTACCATCAAGGTTAGGCTCTCTGTCCGCTGCCGGAAAATTCAGTAGTCATCATTCGGTTCCTCTGGTTCTGTATAGAACACATTTGTGTTCTATTCTTCACTCTTGTTTTAAAGAGTTCAGATCTGTCTTTTTTTGTTTTTATTCTGTTAATTCTGAACCCATGGCAGAAACGAAATCTGTCGTTACGTCTGATGTGGTTCCTGTGATGTCTAAGATCACGGACCACAAACTCAACAATTCTAACTATCTTGATTGGAGCAAAACGGTTCGTCTTTATCTGCGAAGCATTGATAAAGACAATCATCTGACTGATGATCCTCCAAAAGATGGTTCAAGACAGACATGGTTAAGGGAAGATGCCAGATTGTTCCTGCAAATACGAAATTCTATTGACAGTGAGGTAATTAGCTTAATTAATCACTGTGAATTTGTTAAGGAGTTAATGGAGTATTTAGAATTTTTGTATTCTGGTAAAGGGAATATTTCTCGCATATATGAGGTGTGTCAAGCCTTTTATCGTGCAAAGAAACAAGATAAGTCCATCATGACTTATTTTATGGATTTTAAGAAAACTTATGAGGAGCTTAATCTGTTGTTACCGTTTAGTTCTGATGTGAAAGTTCAGCAAACTCAACGGGAACAGATGGCAATTATGAGTTTTTTGGCTGGTCTTTCACCTGATTTTGAAGCTGCTAAATCTTAGATTCTTTCCAGTCCTGAGATCTCATCCTTGCAAGATGTGTTTAGTAGGATGCTTCGCACAGAGAATACCCAGTCTGTTCAGTCCAGCAGTGCTCTTGTTGGTCTTGGAAAACAGCAATACAAAGGTGGTGGTAAAGGAATTGACACTCGGGGACAGAATGCAGAAGTGGTTGTGTGTTACTATTGTCAAAAGCCGGGCCATATGAAGCATGATTGTAAGAAATTGCAGTACAGGAACCAGAGAACTCAATCCGCACATATTGCTTCTACCAATGATGCTATTAACCATGGAAAGTCTGTTACGATCTCTGCAGATGAATTTGCTAAATTTTCTCAGTATCAAGAATCATTAAAGTCTTCATCTACTCCCGTAACTGCCATCGCTGAGTCAGGTAAACCAAACACATGCCTTCTGTCCTCGTCCTCCAAATGGGTAATTGATTCTGATGCTACAGATCATATGACAGGTAATTCTAGTCTATTTTCTACATTTCAGTCACACACATCTGCACCTACAGTTACCTTAGCTGATGGGTCAAAATCTCGTGTTCTTGGATCAGGCTCAGTTAACCCCACTCCATTAATCTCATTGTCATCTGTCTTAAGTTTGCCTGAGTTATCTTTTAATCTAATTTCTGTGAGTAAACTTACCCGTGCCCTCAATTGTTCTGCCCAATTCTTTCCTGACTATTGCTTGTTTCAGGATCTTACGACGAAGCAGATTATTGGTAAAGGGCATGAATCTGGAGGTCTTTACATTCTTGACACACAGATACCAAAGTCCATAGCTTGTTCTGGAATTGTAACACCATTTGAAGCACATTGTAGGCTGGGTCATCCTTCTCTCCCGTTGTTAAAGATACTTTGTCCACAATTTCAGAATTTGTCTCTATTAGATTGTGAGTCTTGTCAATTTGCCAAACATCATCGTGTTAATCTGAGTCCTAAAGTCAATAACCGAGCGGATGCTCCTTTTGCATTAGTTCATTCAGATGTCTGGGGATCTAGTCCAGTCATTTCTAAAACTGGATTCAAGTATTTTGTTACTTTTGTTGATGACCATTCTCGTATGACTTGGTTATATTTAATGAAAAATCGGTCAGAGTTGTTTTCTCATTTTTGTGCTGAGGTTAAGACTCAATTTAAGCGTTCTGTACAAATATTGCGAAGTGACAATGCCAAAGAATATTTATTCGCACCTTTTCAATCTTTTATGGTGCAAAATGGCATTATTCATCAAACCTCTTGTGTTGATACACCATCCCAAAACGGGGTCGCAGAACGAAAGAATAGACATTTGCTTGAAACTGCAAGAGCCTTATCATTTCAAATGCATGTTCCTAAACATTTTTGGGCTGATGCAGTGTCCACAGCTTGCTTTCTAATTAATCGTTTGCCTTCATCTGTTCTGAATGGTAGGACTCCTTATAATACTCTTTTTCCAAATAAACCTTTGTTTCCCATCGAACCTAAAATCTTTGGATGTACATGTTTTGTCCGCGACTCTGGTCCCCAAGTCACTAAATTAGACCCCAAATCATTGAAATGTATTTTTCTTGGTTATTCTCGTGTCCAAAAAGGATATAGATGTTATTGTCCTAGTCTTGGCAGGTACATTGTGTCAGTTGATGTTACTTTTCTTGAAAATACACCTTTTACCCATTCCTCATCTCATTCATGTCAGGAGGAGGATGATGATTTGTTAATCTATACTGTCACATCTTCAAGATCTTCCCCTGCTAAACCTCCAATTACTCAGGTATATTCTTGACGACAAAAGTCTCCTGATGCATGCCCTGAACCAGTTCCTTCGTTACTAGATCTTGTCTCAAGTGATGATCTTCCTATTGCTCTTCGCAAAGGTAAGCGTCAATGCACTTATCCTGTGTCTTCGTGTGTATCTTATAATCATTTACCCACCTCTTCTTGTTCCTTTATTACATCTATTGATTCTATCTCCCTTTCTAAAACTGTTCATGAAGCCCTATCCCATCTCGGATGGCGCAATGCTATGATAGAGGAAATGAATGCTCTAGATGGTAATGATACTTGGAACTTAGTAAATTTACCTGCAGGGAAGAAGGCCATTGGGAGTAAGTGGGTTTTTGCAGTTAAATTCAATCCTGATGGGTCGGTTGCTCGGTTAAAAGCTCGCCTTGTTGCCAAAGGCTATGCCCAAATCTATGGAGAGGATTATTCTGACACTTTTTCCCCTGTTGCTAAGTTAACATCTGTCAGGTTATTCATTTCTATGGCAGCCACTCATAATTGGCCTTTGCATCAACTAGATATCAAGAATGCCTTTCTTCATGGAGACCTCCAAGAGGAAGTTTATATGGAGCAACCACCAGGGTTTGTTGCTCAGGGGGAGTCTGGGAAGATTTGTCATCTTCGAAAGTCCTTGTATGGACTGAAACAAAGTCCTCGTGCTTGGTTTGGAAAATTTAGTCTAGCAGTTGAGAGGTTTGGGATGCAGAAAAGCAAATCTGATCACTCTGTTTTCTACAAACAGTCTGAAGCTGGTATTATTTTGTTGGTAGTATATGTGGATGATATTGTTATCACTGGAAATGATGCTGCAGGTATTTTATCTCTTAAAACTTTTCTCCATAGTCAATTTCAGACAAAGGATTTGGGACTGTTAAAGTATTTTTTGGGTATTGAGGTGGCAAAGAGTAGGAAGGGGATATTCCTGTCTCAAAGAAAATATGTTCTTGACTTACTATCTGAAACGGGAAAATTGGGGGCTAAACCAGCTAGTACCCCAATGATCCCTAACTTGCAGCTCACAAAAGAAGGTGAATTATTAGAAGATCCTGGGAGGTATAGAAGATTGGTTGGAAAGTTGAATTACCCTACAGTGACTCGTCCAGATATCGCGTATTCAGTTAGTGTTGTTAGTCAATATATGTCTAATCCTACTGTTAATCATTGGGCAGCTGTAGAACAAATTTTGTGTTATTTAAAAGGAGCTCCTGGACGTGGTATTCTGTATGAAAATCATGGTCATACTAGGATTGAGTGTTTTTCAGATGCTGATTGGGCAGGATCTAAGGCAGATCAAAGATCCACAACTGGATTTTGTGTCTTTGTTGGAGGAAACCTGGTCTCATGGAAGAGTAAGAAGCAGATTCCTGGTCTCATATCTCTTCATCTGCAACTAATTCTTGGTTTGTCGGGTAAATATTTAACTGCATGTTATGGAACTGTTTATATAGACTTGAATTTACAAAATTTCCTGGGAATCGTGTACTACATTCCTGTGATAGTGGTATTTTTGGATAAATCTAAATGAAATTGTTCACTTAAGTCACTGATTAACATAGGCGTCGTCAATCATAATTATTAAATTAACTAAGTGTATATAATGTAGCTTTATATTCTGGGCTTATGTTCTAGGTTTATTATATCAGCTTAGTTGCATTATGAAAAAATTGGTACTATATGGATGCTAACATGGAGTATCGATCTTGAAAAGCTTCAAGGAATCTTGGCTTGGTATACAAACCAAATGTTGAAAACTTGAACTTTGATAGTTGAGCTGGCATAAAAACCTAGCTAGAGTGATGCATTGAATTTTTCTTTTTCCTGCTCAAGCCACATAGTT